TCTCCAGTCCTGGTACTGGCGGCTTTGGTATCATACTGGGCCTAAGTAGTACTCAGGAGAGGAATGGAAGGGAAGGGATTGCAGTGTGTCCAGTTCCCATGGGGGTTAATTTCTCACTTTCTCTTTCCAGCTCTCTCTTTCTGGTGAGCCTATATGCCCTATAGCAATAACCAAAAAAAAAGAAAAGAAAACGAAAAAAAGTAGTAACAATGTAAACATTCAAGTGATCCATAGATAAAGAAATATTGTGGGGGCCAGCAGGTGCCATAGTGGTTAAGGCATGGAATTCCCACATGGTTAAATATGGTTTGAGTCCCAGATCTGGTGGTGTGAAACTCATGCTGGGTCTGTGGGTCTGCTTGCCCAGAATACTGAGAGGAGAAAGGAGAAGGGATTTCAGCTAGTGATTTCTTGCTTTCTTTTTTTCTGTCTCTCCAGAAAGCTCATATGCCCAATAGCAAAAATATCTCTTTAAAAAACAAATTATCAGGATAGTATTTTTGTTTTAAGTAATGTTTTTTGATAAAAATTTATTTTATTTATGATAGAGAACGATTCTGGTACAAACACCAGAGAGAGAGATAAGCACCCTAAACAAGGTCTTCCCACCTAAACAAGGTCTTCCCTGCCACAATCCTCTCTTCTGAGCCCTGCATGTCCTCCAATTCTAGGTCTTTTAAATAGATATATGTCCTGCATGATTTCAGGCCAACCCAGAGATTCAAACCCAGTCAACCATTGGCTTCCAGTACTACAGTTAGGTTTGCTACTGATGGTGTCACCAGGCTGGACCATGAAGGTCTTTTTTAATTATAGGGACCAGACGTCTATCTCATAGACTCAGGGAATTGTTCACAATCAGACTATAGGAATCTAGCTCATAGACTCAGGGAATTGTTCACGAGCAAACCAAAACACAGCATGATCGAAACTTACTCATCGACTTAAGAATGGGAGAAGGAAGTCATTAAGATCATTAACAAGTGCTTAAATGGCTACAAAATATGACCTTATCTCAAATAGCTGCAACTTAACTTGTTTATTTGTGTGTGTGTGTTTGCGTGTGTATTTTATGTCCATAGATTTAATGTGAGACATCCTACATTAACCTGGTTTCAATTTGTGTCTTTACCTCTTGTGGTTCTGTGGCTTTGGATAACTTTGTTAACATCTTTGAGTCTCAATGTCATTCTACATAAGTTGTGACCATTCCAATGACATGCCTTACCAATTCGTGGAAGAGCCTCCATAGAGGACCTGCCCCATTGTGAGCACTCAGCAAGTGAGAGCTGTGAGGACAGCCATAACAAGATGGCGGTTTCCACCCTGTGCCCTTGACGTGTGCTTCTGCATGATCTGGGTGCTGGGGTGAGTAGAAGTCCTGAACAAACTAAGCACTTTATAGTAGGTACACAGTTTATCCCAGTCAGAGAAAAGGCTGGTATATTGGATTCTATGGGAAGAACAGTAGCATCAGGGGGGGTAAAAACGTAGGTCATTGGGAGCTTAAGCAGGTATTATTTAAATTAAAGCTACATAAACAGTGTGGGAAAGCCACAGAAAGGGTGAGCTCAACCAAGGTTTGCATTGTGAGGTCAGCTGGTGACGAACTGAGTCAGGAAGTATTTTTTACAAATCCTGATCTGACTATGATTGTCAGATGAGTTTTCCCTGCTAAAGCTAAGAGTTTGTTAGATTATTTTGGATTTTGTTTTGTTTTAGTTTTTTTTGTTATAGAGCATGTGCTCTGGCAAGACAGAAAGGGTGGTGGCAGGAACAAGCAGTTAGCGTAATGGCTATGTTGCTGGACTCGCACGTAGTCGACCGCGGTTCATGTCCCGGACCTGGTGGCTTAAAACTCATGCTGGGCGTGTGTGCGTGCGTCCCCAAGATCCTGAGAGGAGAATGGAGGAGAAGGGATTGCGGCATGATCATCCTCCCTGGGGACTGATTTCTCGCTTTCTGTCTCTATGTCTCTCTCTGTCTGTCTGGCACATGCACCCTATAGCGAAAAAACCTCTCAAAAAAAAAAAGAAAAGAAAGGGTGGTGGCAAGTGAGAAATCACATGTGGAGGGCTGGCCACACCACAGTCCTTTCTCCTCCTTTGTCCTGTTGGTATTTTTTTTTAAATTATTTAACTTTATTGATCGGTTTATTTATTTCAATTTGATCAGAGAGGGATGGAGTAAGGGGGGAGGAATGAGGAAGCTAGCTTTCAGGTCGAGGATTTGAACCGTGGTCACCCAGGTGTGAGTATAACACGCTTAGCCACCTTGCTATCTGCTGACCCCTCCTCTTGGGATTAAAGGCAAGTCCTCACACAAGCCCATTGTGATTTTCAAGAAGTGTCTCAACTTGAACCACTCAGTTGACCACGTGGAACCCAGCTGCATCAATCCTCATACTACCTGCTCGCCTGCTAAAACTTATTTTTTAAAGGTGGTTTTTGGCTTCCCCCTTCCAGACCCCAGTTCTAGTCATGACGGAATCCTTCCAGGCATCTTGATCTCTGCCTCTGCTCCTCCTTCTGTGTTCAGCTTTAAGGCTGTGAAGCTCTCCCCAGCACGGGCTCCCCATTTACAGACCCCAGTGCTATTCAGGTAGGCAAAGTTTCCTCTTTCTCTCTCTCTCTGTCTCTCTCTCATTCATTTCTGTCCATTCTAACTTTTTTTCTCTTTAAAAACAAACAGACAACAAAACACAGCTTTCTGTCCTCTTTGTGCATTTCTCTTGCTAATTTGTCTCTTCTTCTGTACCTAGGACAGAATCCTTCCAGGCATCTTCATCTCTGTCTCTGCTGCCCCTTTATGTGGCATGTTTGTGCACGTCGTAGTTTTTCATTTTTAACCCAATTTTATGTTCTACAACATTATTTGTTTTGTTTTGTTTTTGTTCTCGTTTTGTTCTAGTTCTTTCTTTCTCCTTTGCTTTATCTTCCTATTTCTGTTTCCTACTTTCTTTTTCTTTTACCTTACTTTCCTATTTTACTACTCAGCCCTTACCCACCTCTGCCTAGAGAAGTCTAGGTACATAGTAGCTAAACATCTGAATATTGTGAGTTTTTGAGAATTCTTTGCCCCTCACTGTACTGGTTGTAAAAATAGTAAAACTCCCCTTCATAAATCTGATTTTATTCCTCCTCCTGTGATTCCCACACTGGAGGACACAGTAGAAGGGAGAAAATGGCACCAAATTATTTCACAGGAAGGGAAACACATGAGCTCACAGTTGCAGAATCATTCTCCAACAAATTAGTGAAAAGTGAATACATTACCAAGTGACTAAAAATCGGAGAAGAGCCTCAAGTATGAGAGAATCAAGTCATACATCTCCTGCAATGAAATATGGTAACATTTCTCGAAGTAGGGAAAAATTAGAGGATATTACCAAAACATCAGAAAAAGAATTTAGAATATTGATGATTACAAAACACAATGAGATGCAAGAAAAAGAGGCATTGAGCACCAAGAGATTAAGAAGTCTTTCCATGTTAGGAAAGAAGAATTAGACACCATAAAAAGGAATCAAACTGATCAATAAAATATGAAGGCTGTAATGCAGAAAATCAAAACCTCCCTCAAAAGTATTAAAAGCCAGTAAGAACATGCAGAAGATTGAATCTCAGATGTACAAAAAAAAACCCATCTGACCTAGGAAAAAATTATCAAAATTACTGAGAAAACAACCAAGAAAACGGGGGATAATATATGAGAAATACAAGGTGCCATGAAATACCCAAACATCCAAATTATTGGTATCCCAGAAGGTGAAGAAACTAATATGGGCATGGATAATCTATTTCATAAAATCCTGAAAGAAAACTTTCAAACTCTGCAGAGGCACTGAATCATTCAGACCCAAGAAATATAAAGAACCCCAAATAGAATAATTCCAAGAATATCCTCTCCATGGCACATTATAGCTAGATTGGCCAAAACCACAGACAAAGGCAAGATAGTAAGATTGGCAAGAGAGAAACATAAAGTCACTTACAAAGGCTATCCCATCAGGCTAACACCAGACTTCTCATAGGATACAAGCAAGGGAAGAATGTGGAAATATATTCACAGCATTAAGTGAAAAACAATTTTAACCAAAACGCTATACCCAGCAAGATTATCCTTCATATGGGAAAAGAAGATAAAAACATTTTCAAATAAACTAAACTGGAAAGAATATGCCAACTCCAGACCAGCTCTTCAAGAAATTCTGAAAGGAGTACTATACCAAGAAAACTAAAGACAGACAGCAATAAGAGAACAAAAACAACCAAGAATATGGCCAACATAATCTGGCAACAAGTCTGGAAATATCGATTATAACGTTGAATGTTAATGGACTGAGATCTCCAGTCAAGAGACACAGACTGGCTGAATGGATTAAAAATGGGAAATCCTCCATCTGCTGCCTACAGGAAACCCATCTCATGGGTAACGACATTCATAGATTAAAAGTGAAGGGCTGGAAAAAAGGTATTCTCTGCAAATGGAAACCAACAAAGAGCACGAGTCACTATCCTAATTTCATACAAAATAGACTTTAAGACAAAAATCGTAAGAGGAGACAAAGAACAGCATTATATAGCAGTAAAAGGGCTAATTCATCAGGAAAATATAATGCTTAGAAATATCTATGCACCCAACTCAGGAGCACCCAAATATGTAAAAGAAAGCCTGCTAGATCAAAAGAGAGAGAGATAGACTATAACACACTAATTGTTGGAGATCTCAACATCCCATTCCAGTTCTCCCAGGCCCCCTGATAGCTCCTCCCTGGGCTCTGACCACACTCCCTCTCTCCTGCCAGGCCTAGTGCAGGACCGTGTTTTCTTGTCACTTGTGCTCAGTCCTTCATCATTGCCCGAGCGAGCCCCAGTCCTTGCCCACAGCTCAGGGAGCTGCATCCAGGTGTCTTCACCTGCACCATCAGGATGAAAGGTTACCTGCTGGAACCTGCCTGACAGGTTAGGCAAGGCCCTTCTGTGTGCAGGTAAGTTAGGAATACTTTCTTATGTATCAATTGTGTGTGCAAATTTTCATATGTATTTATTTTTTTCCTTTTTGAGAGAGAGGGGGGTGTTTTAATGGGTCTTGCTGTGTCCCCATCTCCCTGCCCAGCCTCCCCTTTAGCCAGGATCCCAGGCAGCTGCAGCCTTGCCCAGCATGTTCAGGTTGGCCCAGGCCCTGCACATGGGGCCCTGCACCAATAGGCAGTGGGGCTGTCCGTGTTCCTCCACAGCTGGGGACTGGAAATATCGATTATAACGTTGAATGTTAATGGACTGAGATCTCCAGTCAAGAGACACAGACTGGCTGAATGGATTAAAAATGGGAAATCCTCCATCTGCTGCCTACAGGAAACCCATCTCATGGGTAACGACATTCATAGATTAAAAGTGAAGGGCTGGAAAAAAGGTATTCTCTGCAAATGGAAACCAACAAAGAGCACGAGTCACTATCCTAATTTCATACAAAATAGACTTTAAGACAAAAATCGTAAGAGGAGACAAAGAACAGCATTATATAGCAGTAAAAGGGCTAATTCATCAGGAAAATATAATGCTTAGAAATATCTATGCACCCAACTCAGGAGCACCCAAATATGTAAAAGAAAGCCTGCTAGATCAAAAGAGAGAGAGATAGACTATAACACACTAATTGTTGGAGATCTCAACATCCCATTCCAGTTCTCCCAGGCCCCCTGATAGCTCCTCCCTGGGCTCTGACCACACTCCCTCTCTCCTGCCAGGCCTAGTGCAGGACCGTGTTTTCTTGTCACTTGTGCTCAGTCCTTCATCATTGCCCGAGCGAGCCCCAGTCCTTGCCCACAGCTCAGGGAGCTGCATCCAGGTGTCTTCACCTGCACCATCAGGATGAAAGGTTACCTGCTGGAACCTGCCTGACAGGTTAGGCAAGGCCCTTCTGTGTGCAGGTAAGTTAGGAATACTTTCTTATGTATCAATTGTGTGTGCAAATTTTCATATGTATTTATTTTTTTCCTTTTTGAGAGAGAGGGGGGTGTTTTAATGGGTCTTGCTGTGTCCCCATCTCCCTGCCCAGCCTCCCCTTTAGCCAGGATCCCAGGCAGCTGCAGCCTTGCCCAGCATGTTCAGGTTGGCCCAGGCCCTGCACATGGGGCCCTGCACCAATAGGCAGTGGGGCTGTCCGTGTTCCTCCACAGCTGGGGATGTGTGTCTTTACAAACCTGCGTCTCGATTATTTTACATTTATTTTACCTCAGACACTGATGTAACAACTAGAAGGGCCCACACCTAGATGTGCTTCTCTGTGTGTGTATGTGTGTGTCTGTGTGTCTGTGTGTTTGCCATAGAAGACTAAGCTTCATTTTGGCTACATAATTTAATGGAGTTTACTAAACTTCATTTGGGTAATAAATCTGGCAACAAGTCTGGAAATATCGATTATAACGTTGAATGTTAATGGACTGAGATCTCCAGTCAAGAGACACAGACTGGCTGAATGGATTAAAAATGGGAAATCCTCCATCTGCTGCCTACAGGAAACCCATCTCATGGGTAACGACATTCATAGATTAAAAGTGAAGGGCTGGAAAAAAGGTATTCTCTGCAAATGGAAACCAACAAAGAGCACGAGTCACTATCCTAATTTCATACAAAATAGACTTTAAGACAAAAATCGTAAGAGGAGACAAAGAACAGCATTATATAGCAGTAAAAGGGCTAATTCATCAGGAAAATATAATGCTTAGAAATATCTATGCACCCAACTCAGGAGCACCCAAATATGTAAAAGAAAGCCTGCTAGATCAAAAGAGAGAGAGATAGACTATAACACACTAATTGTTGGAGATCTCAACATCCCATTCCAGTTCTCCCAGGCCCCCTGATAGCTCCTCCCTGGGCTCTGACCACACTCCCTCTCTCCTGCCAGGCCTAGTGCAGGACCGTGTTTTCTTGTCACTTGTGCTCAGTCCTTCATCATTGCCCGAGCGAGCCCCAGTCCTTGCCCACAGCTCAGGGAGCTGCATCCAGGTGTCTTCACCTGCACCATCAGGATGAAAGGTTACCTGCTGGAACCTGCCTGACAGGTTAGGCAAGGCCCTTCTGTGTGCAGGTAAGTTAGGAATACTTTCTTATGTATCAATTGTGTGTGCAAATTTTCATATGTATTTATTTTTTTCCTTTTTGAGAGAGAGGGGGGTGTTTTAATGGGTCTTGCTGTGTCCCCATCTCCCTGCCCAGCCTCCCCTTTAGCCAGGATCCCAGGCAGCTGCAGCCTTGCCCAGCATGTTCAGGTTGGCCCAGGCCCTGCACATGGGGCCCTGCACCAATAGGCAGTGGGGCTGTCCGTGTTCCTCCACAGCTGGGGATGTGTGTCTTTACAAACCTGCGTCTCGATTATTTTACATTTATTTTACCTCAGACACTGATGTAACACCTAAAAGTGCCCACGTCTAGATGTGCTTGTGTGTGTGTGTGTGTGTGTGTGTGTGTGTGTGTGTGTTTGCCATCAAAGACTAAGCTTCATTTTGGCTACATAATTTAATGGAGCTTACTAAACTTCATTTGAGTAATAATTTAAACATTCAGATAGATTTAAATAACAAACATCTGACAACAGAAGTGGTTAATAAAGACTAAAGCTAGCCAGTGGTATGATGGGTAAGGTGGCTGGATCCAATATGGCCGACTGCACAATTCACGTTCTAGACCCAGAGACTTGAAATCACACCGAGCACATAAGTGAGCATGCCTCAGGTCCCAAAGGGGAAATGGAGAAAGGGGTTCCGTGTGACCATCACTCCCAGGGGTGCCTTCCTACATTCGCTCTCTGTCTCTTTCTGAGTGCACATACCCCAGGCAAATATATTTTTTAAAAATTATGTTATTTTTGTTAAGGCTTTCTGTTACTTTTTTTAAATCATTTTATTTTATTCATTCATTCACTCATTTATTAAAAAATTGACCAGAGAGAGACATCAAGAGTGAAAGAGTGAGAAAGCAAGCCACCAGGTCTGGGACTCGAATCACGGCCATGTGGAAGAGTCCAGTGCCTTAACCACCATGCCACCTGCTTGTTGCCTGTTACTTATATATTTATTTATTTTAAGAATTATTTATTGGATTTATTTATTTATTATTATTATTACTATTATTTTAATTTGACCAGAGAGGAAGCAGGAGGGAAAGTGAGAGAGCAAGCCCTAGGTTTCATACTTGAACTGCAGTTGGCCATTTGGGGGGGTCCTACACCTTAACCAGCATACCAGCTTATGGCTCCCTGATCTTTTTTTTTTTTTTTTTTTTTTGGGGGTTTT